TATATTACTACTTATTCTAAAGCTAGCTACTTATAATAAGTAGAACTTATTTAATTATAAGGGTATAACCTAAGAGATTAGGCTAGAGAAGGATAAGAGGGTAGTAATATAGGAGTAAATTACTATAAACTAAGTAAGTTAGCCCTTCTAGCTACTTATGCGCGCAGCGCCCTTTTTTAGGGCCTAGCTTACTAATCTAGCTAAACCTTAGTAGAGGCCTAGCGAAGGCCTAGCAGGCTAGCACTATAGCTAAAATCCTAATTTTCTCATATTATATCTAAGCTATTTAGTAAAATATATAAAAACTTTACTAAAAGGCTAGCTCTAAAATTAAGAGATCTTTACCTTTAGGTTAGTACTACTTTATAAAAGATACTAATAAATTACTATATTAAAGTATATATATTAGCGTTATTACCTATTTAAAATTATATATAGATACTATACTAACTACTTTATAAGAAGATAGTAATATACTAGAGGACTTAAGGGGAGCTAAGATTACTATACTAAAGTAATATATCTTATATACTATAATAAAGAAGTTTATTTAGAATAAAATAGTATATATATTATAACTAAGCGTAAATTTTAAATAGATAGTTAGAGGATTATAAGCTAAAAACTACTTCTATAGAGAACTTATATCTAAGGTTTATTAAGATACTAGAGAATACTAAGGATACTAACTTAATAAAAATAATATCTTTTAGTTTAAAAAAAAACTTATTATCCTAAAAGAGAGATCCCTTTACTATAAAATCCTAAAAAACTATTATAATATACTTAGATTAAAATATATAGAGGTAAATAAAATAGTAAAGTTAATCTTATAAAGATTCTATTAGCTATACCTAATAGAGGATATATAGTAATATATCGCTAAGTACTTATATTACTAAAGAGTATATATACTATAATATTAGTTATATAGATTACTATAAATACTAGAATTACTAGTATACCTATTTTAATAGATTTCTTTAAACTTCTTAACTAGCTTACTAAAATATTACTAAAATAATAAGATTATATATAATATAATTTTAATAGTTATATATTAAATAACTAAAGTAGTATAATTTCTAGTAATAACTAAGTAACTAAATA